AAGACTCTGACCTACACCAAGCATGCATCGAGGCAGAAGAGCAGGAGCGAAAACGAAAGGAAGAAAAACTACTTCAACTGCTAGAGGAGGAGAAAGAGATTCGACGCAAATTTGATCGTGTTTGGTGCGCTCAGCCTCGAGACGACATCGAATGGGCCGAGCACAATGCAGACATGGCAAGATGGAAAGAGCTCCATAATACAATAGAGGAGTTGAAGAAGTAAACATCCAAATACACAAGCGTCGCCGAGCTACACAAAACGGCCTTTATAAAGGCCACCAATAAACTCATTCGTTTTACACTTTAGCAGACGCTCACTCTAGATACGTACGTTCGCACATGTTTTCCTTATTAATTGTAATAGTATGTAAGTTATTGTCATTCCTCATGTTTTATACAAATAAACAATAAACAAAACAAGGAAGCTATCCTACACTATAAGTGTTGTAGGGTAGCTTCCTTTTTTAAAACACAAACAAATGACCTTGAACATCATATGATCATCCATCGTGACGTCAGCTCAAATCGAACGCCATTTCCGGATTTTTACGTCATTTCCGCCTTATGCCCTTTAAACTAATTAACTTTGTAACATCTGCTAACATCTGCCCGACAGCTGTTACGCGCGTTTCCACCAGGTCACCACTACTACAATCGCACAGATACATAATTCATTATGATTTACCTATTTACGACAAGAAGTCTAAAACCTTAAGCGAAGCAATGAAGTAGCAACGGCTAAGCAATGAATAAAGTAGAGCCAACAAACGTGTTTTGAGCTTGCAAATAAAATTAGAAAATGTAGCCGAATAGAACCACATTTAATGGAATCAAATTGAACCCCAAAGCCCAGCCACGTTTTGGACATTTTTCCTTCTTTATTTAATGAGAGTTTCAGGGATCTATTCCTATTGGAGCTTCAAGTGAATGTTTGTGTTTGCTTTACACAAAGAACTGACCTCAGTAAAAAAAAAAACGGTAATTTATTCGTTTCGTTATTTGTAGATATTGGATTGAACCAAGAATGAGTAATGATGCGAGTAGAACATATTTTTCATTTTTATGATTTTATTTACTTCCTTGGTGACGGGAAAAAAATGTAAAATAAGTGTTTAGCATTAAAGTGGTATAGTTAATAGAATACGTGCGTTTTTAGTTTTTACCCATCCTCTCAGAGTTTTTTCCTCCTCACACCGTGCAACAAATTAGTTTTCTTCAATTCATAATACAACATAATATAGGTTATACCATAAAATTAAATTGTCAAACAAATATATGCATAACCCGTTGTTGATAGCGTATATATCATGTCTATATTATATATTTAAAATATTGCGGAGTATCTATCCCATGAATACAAAAAAATCCATGTTTTCACCGATATTCAATCCTATTAATAATTATTACCTTTACATCTATACCACATTTTCTATTATTTATTAATTTGGTGTGTGGAGTGGATCCTGTACATTTACTAGGCAGTTTGTCAAATTTCAAACATTCATAAACCGTTGTATTATATTATTTTTCAGATATTAATTAATAGTTTATGACTTAAGATAAAGTTTTTGTCGATTCCCAACAAGTTTGGTAAATGAACTGTGTCTTTTACCAAACGCGGGTTTTTTTGCGGGAGTTAGAGATAAATATTATTTACAACGTTCCATTTCCCGACGACAGCGCGCGGCGCCATACCAGGGGAATCCTGAATGCTGTGGCTCACAAATCGATAAAGCCAGCCAAGAAATTTCCCCGAGGGTAAAGTTATTTCTTATTTGTGATATTTTATCCGTTTTTAGTTTAGCTTAACTGATCTCGTGGTAAATAATTGTTAAATCCCCTTTCATTGTAGTACGACTGTAAATTATTGCGTTTACAGTTAACTTGTTGTAGTAACTTGACAATTCACTATTTGTTTGAACGTCTTTGATGTCATTACACACAAATAAATATTAGTACGCTTTTGTGACTTTTGTGACTAAAATCCTATAACTTTCAATAAATTAAGTCACCATGAAGTTTGTATCAAAGCAACCTCACTCCCTCAAATTTAGCTCAAAACATAGTATTTTTAAAAAGTTTCTTTTTTAGTTGTTTTTGTAGACTATACACTGTATTATTATTAGGTTTCCGTATGCAGTTTTAAGCAATAATCGATTTATTACATATAAATTTCAATTTAAGGACAGCAATTTATACACTTGAGCTGCTGGCGTAAATAATGTTATGGGTGAGTGAATCTTTGACATGCTATTTTCAGGTTGTTGAGTTTGAAATATGCGACAAACTATGCGATGCATATATTTCTTTATAAACAGACATGAAATTAAGAATTTCCCTACTTGTGTCTTATTCTTATAATAACATTTGTCTATATTTTCTGTCATTAGTTTCTCCATTTTTATTTTCCATAATTTTTTGTAGTTTATAACGTTGCCCCTAAAATATTTCGTAATTAGTTTCTGGCATTTTTTGAGGATTCTCGCACAACGTTTTGCAAAAAACCACATTATACAGGGTGTCCCTCGAGAGGTGTCTCAAATTGATTACTGGAAAACGGCTTAACGTACAAGGATGAAATAAAATTATTTCCCACTAAATCAACCCCAAGGAAAAACGTAAAAATATGTTTAACTTTTTTCAAATACAGGGTGTGCCAAAAACTGAGGGTCACTAGTTCGAATCTCGGAATTTTCAAATGTAAACATATGTCATGTTATACATCATTTTAAAGGTATTAAATAGACAAACATTTTGGTGAAAACAGAAATTAATTATCTTTTTCCGTTTCAAAATGGCGGCAGTTTTTTTGAAAGAAATCTATATTTTTTTAATACTCTGTATTTCCTATACCAATGCATTTAGCATTTCTCCGGTTGCATTTTCTTACTCGTTATGAAATTAGCTTTACTGTGATATGCAACAAGTAACGGTTTTTTGAAATAATAAAAATTCCAAAAAAATTTATTTTTGAAAATTTGCAAATGCTCATTGTTCAAAATTTTCAAATAGCAACATATGTCAAGTGGCACATCATTTTATAGGTTTTTCAATTCCTAACAACTTTGTAATTTACACTTACTTCGTATCTCTTTTAGTTTTTTTGTAAATAACAAAAAACCTAATTTTCCTATATCAAATGCATGTTATTTGGGTTTGACATGGTTCAACAATAAATGAAATGAAGCCTTTAGTGTCAAACCCAAATAACATGCATTTGATATAGGAAAAATAGGTTTTTTGTTATATACAAAAAAACTAAAAGAGATACGAAGTAAGTGTAAATTACAAAGTTGTTAGGAATTGAAAAACCTATAAAATGATGTGCCACTTGACATATGTTGCTATTTGAAAATTTTGAACAATGAGCATTTGTAAATTTTCAAAAATAATTTTTTTTTGAATTTTTATTATTTCAAAAAACCGTTACTTGTTGCATATCACAGTAAAGCTAATTTCATAACGAGTAAGAAAATGCAACCGGAGAAGTGCTAAATGCATTGGTATAGGAAATACAGAGTATTAAAAAAATATAGATTTCTTTCAAAAAAACTGCCGCCATTTTGAAACGGAAAAAGATAATTAATTTCTGTTTTCACCAAAATGTTTGTATATTTAATACCTTTAAAATGATGTATAACATGACATATGTTTACATTTGAAAATTCCGAGATTCGAACTAGTGACCCTCAGTTTTTGGCACACCCTGTATTTGAAAAAAGTTAAACATATTTTTACGTTTTTCCTTGGGGTCGATTTAGTGGGAAATAATTTTATTTCATCCTTGTACGTTAAGCCGTTTTCCAGTAATCGATTTGAGACACCTCTCGAGGGACACCCTGTATAATATTAAATTTAAAAATATTTTTGAAACATAAATTATTGTTACCATGATGTTTTGCTGATCCAAATACCTATTGAAACAGTAAAAAAGTAATTGACTCCCTTATACCATAGATCAGGTAAATAAGTATTGTATTTTGTTTACTTAACAATTTTTTTCTTTGTCTACGCCGGTGGATTTTTTTAATAACGAAAGAGCGGGAGTGTGTGCTAATCATACACTTTTTGTGAAAGCGGTCCAAACCCATGTGTTGTGGATGTACCGAGAATTAGAACCGACCCTCCCACACGGTAGTCCGAGCAATCACTAGGCTAGCACCACACTCTTAAATTGACAATTTATTTTTAAAACAATTTCTGTAAAATATGTTTTGTGAGATCGGTTTATATTATTATAAAATTAACCTATAATAAACCAGCGGGGAACTTGTTATATACGATGTCTCAATTCAATATAGTTATTTTTAAAGTAACATTAAATAGATGTGTTTAGTAGTTTTCTGACTAATTATATCCTTTTTGTGAAACAGCTTAATTAAGTTGCTGATAATCAATGGCTTTAATTTTTAACCTCGACGTAAAAGATTTTTCAAATAATCTATTTTTCCATGATTTTTTACAAATCAAATGCACAAGAGTTAATACAAAAATTGAAAAAAAAGAAGTTGTTCCAATCTCATTCCACGTGTTGAAGTGTCTAAAGTTACTAACGGAGCACTGGTTGGGAAAGTAATAATTGTTATGCCTGTGCTGAAACGGTCTGCACTGTAGGTGTGAAGTGTTGCTGACTTTACATTGCACATGTCATAAAACTAAAAATATGATCAATACAAGTTTGACTATTGTTAGATATTCTTGTTGGCTTGTCTATACATTGAGACCAGTTTTTAACAAACAGTTAACGAACTGCGTTTACAGAATTAATATTCAACGAGTTTTAACAAAAATCTCTGGTTAAACTCATAATCAAATCTTTGCTCTATAGTGACAATTTTCTAAATCTTTTGAAATTAATCAAGCATCTAAATAAAAAGTAGGCTACGGTATAAGGCTGAAACATAAAATTTGTTACTACGAAAATTGCTGGGTTGCATTCTGAAAGTAGTACAGTAACTATAAAATTAATCATAGTTAAAAATCAAGATAGGCTACTTACAAGTAGTCGCCATCGCAGTATTTGGACGTTGCCTGAAAAAGAAAACAATACATTAGATTTTTAACTACTTATCCGCCTTAAGAAACTTAATAATTAAATTCCAAAAAATTACCTTTGACTTTAAAATTTGGTGAAAATCCGTTACGTGCCCACAACTATTTCTTTTCCAATTACACTTCTATAACTTATTAAAACCTTTTATATGTTATAAATAATGAAATACAATATTTAGAAAAGGTTTTTAATCATACGCTTTATAAATATGGGGAAAACACACAGTTTGGTTGGTTAGGTTAGGTTAGATGACACTGTTCTAACATTACCTAACCCAACCAAACTTCTCGAACAGCTTAAAATTTGTTAATTGTTGTTGTTATTGTTAACTGGACTTAAATTAATCGTCATCTCATTGTTGCGACAAAGTCAACAGTGATTCAATACCCCCGGGCCGCTGCCGGAGACGCTGGTGTTGAGCCAGATGCGACCGTGCCAGATGCGACCCATGCCAGATGCGACCGTGCCAGATGCGACCCGTGCCGGATGCGACCCGTGCCGGATGCGAACCGATAATTTTCTACCGTGCCGCTAGTGACCCAAGAATATTGACTGGGAAGTCAGTAATGAAAGTTAGTCTACAGGGTGTCCCGGAACTCTCTACCAATATTTTAGGGCATTGTTCCTGGGTAAGAAACATATCTAAATATCATATTTAAATTGTCCGGAAGTCCTTATTTACTCAGATAGCCGCCATTTTGTTTTTTTCACTTATTAATTTTTTTCTGAAGATTGGTTAAACATACAAAGTTGAAACTTTGCACAAACATTTATGACAACTAGACAAAGCTACAAAAAAATTATGACGATTTTTCAAATTCATAAAACAAAATGGCGGCTGTTTAAAATTTTGTTTCTTAAATTACTCGAAAACCGTTGATTTTACAAAAGTTTTACAAGAATAACTTATTTAAGGCAATGTTATTACAAATCGATCGACGCCTTAATCTTTAAGATCGGACGAGTATTAACTGAGATATGGCAGTTTTAGTGATACGTGACCGCTTTCAGCATGCGCTGCAACTAATATCCGGCGGTCACGTATCACTAAAACTGCCATATCTCAGTTAATACTCGTCCGATCTTAAAGATTAAGATGTCGATCGATTTGTAATAAAATTGCCTTAAAAAAGTTATTCTTGTAAAATTTTTGTAACATCAACGGTTTTCGAGTAATTTAAGAAACAAAATTTTAAACAGCCGCCATTTTGTTTTATGAATTTGAAAAATTTTTGTAGCTTTGTCTAGTTGTCATAAATGTTTGTGCAAAGTTTCAACTTCGTATGTTTAACCAATTTTCAGAAAAAAATTAATAAGTGAAAAAAACAAAATGGCGGCTATCTGAGTAACTAAGGACTTCCGAACAATTTAAATATGATATTTAGATATGTTTCTTACCCAGGAACAATGCCCTAAAATATTGGTAGAGAGTTCCGGGACACCCTGTATAAGGAAATAACCATAAGATTTTTTTAACACAGTATAAACTTCTATTCTTAACAATAACTTAACTTAATTTCACTCTAAAACAATTAAAGCAATTGTCTGTCAAATTAATGCCCAATAAAATACTGCCACCTCAACAAAACTGCAGACTAAACGATTTCCCATTTGTCTGAATGGACTTTTGCTAAAATATTTCTTTAACAAGTCAGATGTGCATATTTTAATCAATGACAAAGCTATCTTAGCAGCTATAGTAACTAGAGATTCTAATGAATAGCTCTTTAGGCTAATATGAGGCTTTGGCGGGTAGTACATATTACTGACACGTGTGTAGAGTTTTTTTTATGGGCTGTATTGTTTATTGTTGTATATTAATATCGGTTTGACAAAACTTTGTAAAAATCCTCTATAAAACAAAGGGTCGCTAGCGGCATTCACGATACTGTACTAACAGGGTCGTTACTGGCACGATCTTTATCTGGGTCGCATCTGGCACGGTCGCATCCGGCACGTAATCGAGACGCTACAGCGAACCGATTACCTCTCCCAGATAGATAATATAATACCGACTACAATGCCGTCGTAAATACCTGGAAATGAGTCCTTCTATTAAGTCCTTCTATTACTCTGTCATTGAAAAACTACGTTTTTAACACTTTAATGTTCATATTAACTAGTTTTGGAGTTGTGGGCACGTAACGGATTTCGACCCAAAATTCTCCCTTTAAAATACATATTTTGTATATGTCCTTTGACTTAGTGTCCAAAGTTTTGCAAACCTTCGATGGGTTATTGGTTGTTTCAAAAATCTTAATAGGAAGAAGAAAGGGATTTTTAAAGAAACTCAAGACCTGGCTGTTAAATCTTTAGGCATTTAGCATTTCATTAAAATCATCTATGATATCACTTTTATGGCTATAGTTACATACCTTTACATATCTTGATTTTTTAAATTAACACAAAGTATTTAACAGTTAAATATAATAACTTTGACTTGAACTCTATTTTACGAAGTAAGATTGTTACGTTTAGGAAACTTTCCTGAGCTTTCAAAATCAACCTAAATTAAGGAACCTTAGCATTATATACAACTATCAGGCTAGTACATTTCTCGTGCACCCTATTGCAATTATTGTTATTCTTACGAAGTAGAAAACGAAACGAAATTACTCTAAGGTAAAACAATGCAGATAAGGTTAAGGCTATTACGCAAATGTAACGAGCATGTTTCTACTTACTGAAGTCTCCGGGGCATTCTGGGTAATGGATAATACTTGCACGAACACATCAATATACATTAAGGCAAAGTATATTTCTTAAAATTTTCCCCTTCAATTGTCGGCTAATGAATAATTTAAAAGCAATTTTGTATCGGATTAAAAATTTAAGACGATTAAAGGAGACAGAAGGTCTTGTTTAATCCTCGTTTGTAAAAAAAAACAGGTTTGTTTTCGACAGTAATCCTCCTTGGATAAGTAATTAATTTTAATGTAGTATGCAAAATTAAAATGAATTGAAGTGAGTAAACCCATTATATTCCCTAGTAGATGGTAAAACTAATATAGGAATATTTTTCAGCTTTAGTACATCGGTTTACTGTTTTTAACAAATGAAAAATTATGTACAAATGTGTACAGATTTTAGTCAGAAAATAAATGAATTTAGTTAACCCTTCTTTTGGTGCCTCCCATTTACGTTTGTAACACTTAATCGTTTTGAAACGAATTGCCTTTTAAATTCTTAAAGTCAGCCAAGATTCACAAATAGCGGTGTGAATAATTTACGCGGGCTTAAAACTACATTTTCATATTGAAAGATGAACATCTAAGATTACATAAAAATAGTTATATATATATAAATTGTTTATTTTCAATAAAGTATAATTGGAATACTGGATTCCATTGACGTAAAAAATGTATTTCCATGAATAGTTCGTAATTAATATTTAAAGTTGTAAAGCCACACTCTGTGTTACCTAATGTTAACCCTTAATGCCCTTTTTTTTGAAGAAATCGAAGTGATGTTGACCTTTGATTAGATTAGATCCACAATTTGCATCAACAATTTTCTTAAAAAACAAAAACAAAAACAAACAAAAAACACATAATTATTTTAAAATGTAATACAACCAGTTCAGAAACAAATTTCTAACATTTCACTGCTACAGTTTAGATTAGTTCATGTTTAAAAATTCACCTCTAAGCAATTGTATAGGCCAGTTAGTACACTTTATTAACTATTAAAGCTTATAGAAACAATTACAGTATACAAGTTTGCGAAGAGCTTCAACAATGTAAATTATTGTTTCAAACTCCAATACAGGAAACCACAGGCTCATGTGGTCTCAATTGCAGGGTTGGGTAAACTAGGAACTATGTGAGTGGAGATAAATAATCGTAATAGGGTCTTCCAACTACCAAGTAACCACAGCTACTATAGGGGCGGTTTGGGAGCTCGGTATTAGCGCTAGTCCGCGACTAAATCCGGATATTTCCGGTATTTTAGGCTGCCGCCTCGAAAACGGGTTTGTGAGCTCGGGATCAGTAAGGCGCGCGCCTAACTTGTGCAGGGATAATCTCGCGCCTAAATATTGTTGGTTTGGGAGTCAAGTAGACTTAGGCGCCAGCCTAAGAGATAGTCTCGGTGGGTTTGGGAGACCAATTTCGGGACTAAGAGATATGTTTTCGTCATAAAAATCAGTGAGTTTAGTCCCCAACTTTAGTCCTGCCAGGGGGCAGGTCTAAGTCGACATCATGCCGGTATTAGCTCATTAGCAAGTTAATTGTTTACATATAAACTAAAAGAATATTATATTGGAATTCGTTATTAAATTCTGAACATTTTCATTACTCTCAAAGTATATTTGATAAAACTTTTTTTTTAGTTTTCTGTTGTTCAAAATAAAACGAAAATCTTGCAGAAAGCTAAATTTAACGAAAGATTATTTGGTTTTTGTTTTTACTGTTAACTGCAATACAAATATGTACCCTAAATATAATTTCTTTCAACTGAGAGTTTGGCTATAACACCCGTACCTTAATTATAAATATTTTATTAGTAAGGAAATAATTAGCAACCACATGCATACCCCCATTCACCCCCTACGAAAGAGTGAAGAGATAGTAAACAAAACATAAAAAACTGCAAATAGCTCACAGTCATATTAGTTACAGTTACATTAAAATGGAGTACCTAGATTATTTGGAGTATAAGAAAATATATACAGTATATCAATAACCCGCCACAGAAAACCTGCAGACTAAGTGAATTTCCAAATAACCTAATAGAGCTTTCAATTAAATTTATTTAAATAACTTTAGGTTTAACAAGCACCTGAAACTACCTACGGTGTAGGTACTGCTACAGGGAGGGTAATAAAGTGTGTTTTTAACAAAATATTAACAACTTTATAAAAAATAAATATATTTGCCAAGTTTCATAAAAATATATCCATAAACGACCACACTAGAACAGTTAACTTAACTTATTCTCCATAAGAATCACATGGGAATTTAAAATTTACAATTTTACC